AGGGGGGGGGGGGGGAGGGCAGATATGGATGTGATGGATTTGATATAAAACCTTACGCTACATGAATGTCAACACCTTTCCCCTTCTCAATGCAACTGTTGTGTCGTTTTCGTCACTGCACATAACATTGCCTTCGGTTTTCTAATTTCCCCATTAAAATTAATTAAAATATTTTCCATTTCGCGTATGTTTCTGTCAGGCAGAATATTTTTCGCTTTAAATATTTTCCGTGAAGTTATCAGTTAACATAAAAATATTATATTATACAATAAACCTACGGTGTACCACACGCATACGTTTATACATTATATATATATATACATACATAGCTGCGGAAATCACCTGTTCGATGAGTTGGAACTTAATTGGAAAAACCCACAAAAAAAAACATTTCTATAACTTTTAAAAAATTCAGTAATTGCAGTATTTTTTCTTGTTAAGAATGGATATATATATATATATGTGTAATATATATATATATATCAACGATCTCTCAATCAATCAATTAACACCAGAGATGAGTCGATGACCTATCAATCAATAAAACGATAATGACGTGTATGTTTTTTTCCGTGAATTTTTTTTTGTCGAGACAGGAAGAATGGGTGATTTGCAGGGTCTTCAACAAAAGCGGGGACAGAAAACATGTCGGATTCCAACCTCAACTCAACCAGATTCACGATCCACAACAACGGTCATCATCTGCATCATCATCATCACCATCCTCTTCCCATCATCATCACCATCGCCATCATCATCATCATCATCATCATACCCTAACCCTACCTCCTCTTCTTGAAACAACCCCACAAACCCTAACCCAGCTCCCTTCTCTACCCGATCACCATGTTCAAAGCCTCCACGAAAACGACATTAGCAGCAACACGAACGAGCTCAAAACCCTAATAAACCCGATCGTGACTCAGCTCAACAGCATCATCTTCTCGTCGGAACAAGACAACAACAGTTCTGCCATGAAACCGGAGCCGTCGACGTTGGATAACTGCAGCAATCATCAAAATCTGGACTTTTGTGAGGATTATTACTTCCAAGACACTCTGTTTCAAGAAGCTGATCTCAGTCTGTTAGGTCTTTCATCGTTGTCAGCTCCTGGAGATTTTCACGTGATGTACGATTCCCCACCTGCTGAATCCTGGCCCTTGGATCTTTAATTATTTGGGATTTTCAACCTTTTTCACCTTTTTCCTTTTGTAAAATACATAATATATATATAACTATTTAGGTTCCTAAGATCCCAAGATCTTTTGCAGATTAGGGTTATGTTTTTCACTTTGTGGGTTGCAGAGAAAGCTGTTCGTGTTGTGTTGCTTCTGTTGAACTGTCTTTGTGGGCGATTCACTGTTCGACGTGACGTCATAAATAGGAAGCTTATCGCCCGATTGAATGGGCTGACGTCACTCTTTCATGCATTGAAGTTTAGACCATTAGCAAGTTCCTGTCTCCGTCCATCGTGTTTTTCTTTTTCGTATTTTATGAACACGCAATTTACACATGTTTATATATATATATATATATATAAGCAACGTTACCGAGTTTAAAAAATGCAGGCCTTATATTATTATACGAAGCCCAATTAAAAGTTGATGCGACTTGCCCAAAGGACCTCGGGCGTGGACCGAGATAAATCAAATGTGTAAATTGAGTGGTGTTTTTTTTGTTTTATCTAGATAGGTTTTTTATTAAAAAATTTAAATAAATTTTATTTTAATTTGTATATAGAATTATGGGTAATTAGAGTTATTTATTGTGAAATTATATTCTTAATAATTTGGGATACACCGAAATATAAGTAACAATACTCTTCGAATTTGATAATTGGAATGAATATAATCTATAATTGGAATGAGTACAATCTAAATCTCTTAACAAGATCAACTGGAAGGGCAATTTGATTTTTCAGTTAATTTAGTTTTAAAATTTTATAATATTTTTTTAGTGTTATGTATTATTATTTAATTTGTTTGGTGCATTTTTATATGATGGGATCGAAATATATTTTCCTTATTAAAAAATAAAATGATAAAAATGATAAAGTATCTAAAATTTAGCTATATTTATAATATATTAAAATTTTGTATTTGGTTTAGACATTAGAAGTTTAATATCATATTAAAGCACGATAATAAAATGATTAAAAAGAAAAAGAAAATGTTTTCATCGGATTACGGGTTGTGATATGCCATTTTATTTGTTGAAATAGAACGAGAGAATCAAAGAACGTTAGCTATGGATTAAAACACTTGTTAATATTTCTGCATATTTTTGTTTATTTGGAACAATAAACCGAGAGAGAGGGAATATATATATATATATATATATATATTAATTTTTAAGAAGATATCTATAAGAATATGAAAATATCTAGTTTGCCATGTTAATCCACCTAGATCCCAATGGCAAGTCAGGATCTTGTTTTTTTTTTTTTTTTTTTTTTTTTTGTAATTTTCTGATTAGACATAGACAATGGTCAGACAAACCGAAAAGGGACTTCGGTCGGATAAATAAATGGTAGTGGCATGTGTGTATATATCATATTTTTTAAAATGTGATGTTGTACAATATATTGATTTTGAACGAAAAACACTAAATGAATTTTGTTTTTGTTTTTGGATTTTGTGGATTAGGATCGAAAATTGTATAACCCAAAAAAAATATTTGCATAGCCTTTAATTTAGTTAAATTAACTCCCAATATTATACGTATATAGTAATAGGAACTAGATACACATTATATTTCACAGATTCTATTAATAAAATAAAACTATTTGATGTATGAATGATTGGAATTTAAGGGCGGGCATATATAGTGAGAGTTATCACATACCTTTTTATATAGCCGATACATGAATATGCTCATACCAACAAGTGGACAGATTATTTGCATTTTACAGAAATAGGGTTAATTAATTTTTTTACGGGTTTCTTTTTTATATTTTCCTACAAAAAATATTTTCAAAAGCTTATAAAAAAATTGGATATATTATTAAAGACCGAACTAGACAAAAATGTGTCATAATAGAGAAGTGTAATCCAACACCTTTGGATCTACAAATCAAATCGAAGCAATTGGTAATTATTTTAAATTAAACAAAATAATAAAATACAAAGTTAAGAACTTGCATACAAAAGTGAATGTTGGGAATAAAAAAAGAAAACACATCAGAAGATCCGCATGAGGTGGAGACACGTGGACATGACATGCTCGAATGATTTGGATATGGGCGACCAGTTTAATTGAGACAAGAAAATCAAATAAAATGATATAATATATGATTGATTATAAATTAATTTAAATTTACGTAAGAATAACCTATTGGTTATAAATTTAATATTCAAATTTTAAAATGATAATTTTTTAATGAAAAGAATTTAACTATCAAACTATTAGATGGAATTTAGGCATATATAAATAATTGAAAACTTATAAATTCACAAATTACCGAATCGAAATTAAATTAGATTTAAAATATTATTCCATAACAATAATAACTACGTAAAATTTGCTTTCCTCAACAATGAGCACAATTTAACTAAAACTATAAATGTGTGTGTGTGTGTATATATATATATATATATACATAACCCATATATTGACATATGGGTGTTATATATATATATATATATTAATCATATTTAAATATATATTCATAGGGTATTTGGTAGGGCAGAAAACGTGAGAAAGTGACAAAGCACTACTAATCTTTTCAATTTCACATGCCATAAGGCCCATCACAGCTACGGCATGCTCACGACGAATCTAATCGACTCTTCGGTTTTATAAAAAAAAATACTTACAATATTTATATACATATGTATATGTATACATGTTTAGGTTTATAACGTGGCTGTGTAAGTATGTCTCGATATACACATTCGCTGTATATAATATTGTATTGGTTATTAATTTTTTTTTAAATTTCATACGTAAAATAGCGCCCGAAATATAGTTTCAGATTTTGAAGAGGAGAAGAAGACGGAGGAGCGCTATATTAAATTAATCAGCAAATGCAGAATTTCACATTAATATTTAATTAAAATCAACATATAAATTAGTCATACAATGTAACATAAAAGAAAAAAGTTGAATATTTTTTTATAGCATATTTATTCTAGGGAAAATTAGTACCGATAGTTTTAAAATATTTAATTAACAATTTTGTTAGTAGTTTCTATTTTAGAATTTCGCATCTTTATTTATTTCATTAAACAAATTCATACTTTTTTAATCAAAATATTTTCGGCAATTTTTAACGGGTTTTCAGTTAACACTTTTTTTTTTATAAATGGTTTAAATTAAATAAATGGTATATATGCTATGCAGAATACATAAAAAAAAATCAATATATGATATATTTTAGATTAAAAAAGGTAATAATCTAATATAAACTAATTGTATTGATCTTTATATATGTCATGGGACACATTAAAAACAAAAGAAAAATTACATAAAAATTATATCCTCATGAATCTCTAATATAATGCACGAGAGAGAGAGAGAGACAAAACGACAATTTCCAACCTTTTCACGAATCAGACACAGACCGAGAAAATCGGAAATTACTTTTTAGTTTTTCATTTTTTTTTCCAGATTTTTTTTTCGCTCAACCTCAGCCATCCCCTCCAATTATTTTTTGGAAAATCGGTATTTAAATTCAACGATAATTATATATTTATAATCAAGAGAAAAAGGGAAAGAATCTAGATCTGTACTGAGGCAGATTCCATTTGGAGCAATCATACTCTTTATTATTTCTATAAATTCCGCTTCTTTTTTTTTCTCGCTTAAATCCTCCATAAAATTTCTAGATCTCTTTTTGGGTACGATCCTCGTAAAAATCGTTCTTTCTCTTCCTTTTTTTAGCCGCCAGAAAATTTTCGTAAAGGCAGCATCTTTTTTCCCGAGAAAATATAATCTCTCCGGTGAGAGATTTATTCGAGCATTGGAGACTAAAGGGTTGGACAAAAGGTTGAATAGATTTTCTAATTCGTTATCATTTTTTCCAGCCAGATTGTTAACCATCTTTTCTATTGAAAATTTTCCCTTTTAAAGATTTTTTTTTGACATTTTTGAACATTTTTTTTTGTCGTATTTTAGATTCCATTTTGCCGGATCCAGTTCGATAATACCCAGGAGAAGCAGCAATCAGATTTTTTTTTCTCGGAAAATATAATTTACTCCAAGAACTTGAAAAATTCATTAATCTCTAATTTTGCAAAGTTCATAAATCGTAATTACCCTTTTTAACTCCTTGTCTTCGATATAAATCGAGGGGGCCAACAAAAAAAGTGGTCACCTTTGTATTGAAAAAGGCTCATCGGTTCTTGTAATTATCCTCGATTCCGAGTTTTTTCTTTCCTCCGCAGAAATTCAGCTTCAGAAAAGGCGAGTCCTTTTTTTTTTACGCAAAAAAGGGAATCAATCCGTGTTTTTTTTTCTCTTCCATGTTCATGATTTCATGTCTCTGTTGCTTTTTCGCTAATACGAGTCGTTTTCGTCTCTGGGGTCTCTGCATTTTGTTTTTCTCCTTCGATTGATGATGATCCTGATTTAGGGTTCTTATCCGATTGATCAAAATATCCTGGGTTCGTCAAATTGTTACGCTCTTAATCGATTCTTATTAGATCTGGGTTCAGTTTTTGTCACGAGGGTCTGAGAAAGATGAGAATTTTGAAATGGGTGATCGTAATTCGAGTCCGCCATTGGAGGAGCCAATGTTGCTGATCACTGATCTGATCGTTGCTTGATTCTTTCAGGTCGGAGAATGAAGGGGGCAGCGCTTGTTGCTCTCGCAGCCACCATTGGCAATTTCTTACAGGGATGGGACAATGCGACCATCGCAGGTGATGTTCTTCTCAGACTGTTTCATGAATTGTCTGAACCAGGATGAGATTGCGAGGGCATTGATTAGCATTGATTAGGTTTTGTAATGGAGATTTTGTGGGTGTGGAAATGTTTTTTTGATGCAGGAGCTATGGTTTATATCAAGAATGATATGAATCTGGCTACCTCGGTGCAAGGCCTTGTCGTGGCCATGTCCCTGATCGGAGCCACGGCCATTACAACATGTTCAGGACCCATATCCGACTGGCTTGGGCGACGGCCGATGCTGATATTCTCTTCGATCCTTTATTTCATCAGCGGTTTGATAATGGTTTGGTCTCCGAACGTGTACGTCTTGTGCTTGGCTCGGCTTTTGGATGGTTTCGGGATCGGTCTGGCAGTGACACTCGTCCCTTTGTACATCTCTGAAACTGCTCCTCCTGAGATAAGGGGACAGTTGAACACACTTCCTCAGTTCATGGGATCTGGTGGGATGTTCTTGTCTTATTGCATGGTTTTCGGTATGTCTTTGAGTGCTTCTCCCAGCTGGAGAGGAATGCTCGGAGTTTTATCCGTCCCTTCGCTCTTGTATTTGGCTTTCGCGATGTTTTACTTGCCCGAGTCTCCGAGGTGGCTCGTCAGTAAAGGAAAGATGGTCGAGGCTAAGAAGGTGCTTCAGCGGTTATGCGGCAGAGAAGATGTTTCCGGTACAAATCTTCTTCTCGCTATTCTTTCCGTTCTTATAGGTTTTTCGATGAATCTTTTATGACGTGCATTGAATTTTGCATGGTGATGAGTAAAGGAATAGCATTTCTGGAAATTTCGGGTCCTTTCCTTTGTTATAACGCGTAGAACCCTTGTTTCTGATGCGGTGTAAGGACGGGGATCTTTGGATCTTTGTACTGAATTTGATGTGATCTTGCAGATGAGCTGGCTTTGCTAGTTGAAGGATTAGGGATCGGAGGAGAAAAAACGATGGAAGAACTCATAGTCGCCCCTGCTGATAACGCCATCGATGATGAGCTTGAACCCGTCGACGAGAATGAGAAATTCCGGCTTTATGGAACTCATGAGAATCATTCTTACATAGCAAAACCTCTCCCTGGTCAAAGTTCCATTGTAGGACTCCGTTCACGCCACGGGAGCTTGGCAAACCAAAGCATGATTCTCAAGGACCCACTCGTGAATCTATTCGATAGTCTCCATGAGAAGTTACCGGAAGCTTCCGGAAGCATGAGGAGTGCAATTTTCCCAAACTTCGGGAGCATGTTCAGCACGGCTGCTGACCAGGCTCACACCAAGAATGCGCATTGGGAAAGGGACGTCGAGAATCAAGACAAAGATATCGACGATTATGCTTCTGAAGAGGCTTCGGGTGAAGATTCTGATAACGATCTCCGCAGTCCACTGATCTCGCGCCAAACGACCAGCATGGACAAAGACATGATTCCACATCCTACCGGTGGAAGCACACTCAGCATAAGAAGGCATAGCACTCTCATACAAGGAAATGGCGAAGCCGGGGCTAGCATGGGAATCGGTGGAGGATGGGTAATGGCATATAAATGGAACGAGAAAGACGGGGAATGCAAAAGGTATTACATCAAAGAAGATGGAGCTGCATCTCATCGCGGGTCTATCCTTTCGCTTCCCGGCGGTCAGGACATGACCGGAGGTGGCAGTTATGTACATGCCTCGGCTCTTGTCAGCCAATCTGCTCTAGGCTCTAAGTTACGTATGGGCTCGGCTCTGATTCACCCGGAGAAAACTGCTTCAGAAACTCCCATCTGGTCTGCTCTTCGTGACCCGGGTGTCAAGCGTGCTTTAGTTGTCGGGGTCGGACTTCAGATTCTACAACAGGTAACGTTCGATTTCTCTGTATCCGTTCTTCCCGAGTTTATATCGAGTTTGTTATAGCGTTATAACCTGGATTGCTCGCTTGGTTTCAGTTTTCGGGTATCAATGGAGTTCTCTACTACACTCCTCAAATTCTCGAAGAAGCTGGGGTAGACATTCTTCTCTCGAACTTGGGTCTAAGTTCCGTTTCCGCATCGTTCCTCATCAGTGCTTTCACTACCCTCCTTATGCTCCCCTGTATCGCCGTTGCCATGAGGCTGATGGATGTCTCGGGAAGAAGGTATTCGCTCTTTTCTCGCTTTCTCGTTTTCGATTCCCTGAAGAAAAAAAAAACCAAACCGAATGAACATTCCAATTATTGGTAATCGCTTGCCCGACTGAAAAGTTTCGATCTTTTTCCTTACAGGGCACTGCTTCTGTCGACAATCCCGGTTCTTATCGTCTCGCTTCTCGTCCTTGTCCTGAGCGAACTCGTGCATATCAGTACCGTGGTCAATGCTGCGATCTCAACTGGTTGTGTCGTGATATACTTCTGCTGCTTCGTGATGGGTTACGGTCCGATCCCTAACATTCTCTGCTCGGAGATATTCCCGACCCGTGTCCGTGGTCTCTGCATCGCCATCTGCGCCATCGTTTTCTGGGTAGGAGACATCATCGTCACTTACTCGCTTCCCGTTCTTCTGGGTTCCATCGGTTTGGTGGGAGTCTTCGGCATCTACGCTGCAGTCTGCATCGTCTCGTGGATCTTCGTGTTCTTGAAAGTCCCCGAGACAAAAGGCATGCCGTTGGAGGTCATCACCGAGTTCTTCGCGTACGGAGCTCAGCAAGATCTGTCTGCAAAGGATATATAGCCGCTGCCATTGATGCCCATCTCAGTTTCATGCTATAGAATCTGCTCCATCTGATGATTTTCTTCCCTTCTGATGTTTCGTAAAGAAAACCCTCAATCCGTTTTTTTTTTCTCACCAGATTTTCTTCTTTATATCGAACAGTTTGGATAATTTGCTCTATGCAAAGTTCGGATCTTTGGTCCTTCTGTCTTTTTTTGTCGTATGAGGAAACACAGGAGAGTCATTACAGGTGACAAGATGTTTTGGAATCTGAAACGGACGCATTTATTAAATGGCGACATATCTATTTGTCGTTATAATATGAAATGGATTATATACGTTTATATGCTGTATATATGTGTATATATATATTCGTTTCTTTCAATGGCGAAGTTGCCAAAACGAAACCTGGGGAAGTTTGAAACTTTTTTTTTTGAAACCTATACGCGAGACCAACCTTTGTGTATGGACTATTTTGGTATAGAAATTACATTTCTATCCGTAAGCGGAATCGAATCCAGAAATTTTGGGATGACTTTTTCACCTATCAACGACTGGACCACCAATTCTTGGGTGAAAGTTTAATTTCAAACCGCAGAAAACATCACATGAAGTAAAGTTCTGTCGTGCTCCATTGTCCGAAGAACTATGAGAAGTCTGAGAGATAAACTTCCAAGGTTGTCGAGTTCTCGTACAAACCCTATATATATATAACGCTTTGCCGAACAAACGAAACCTTGTCATGAAGATCTAAGAGAATCAATCCAGTTTTTTGAAAAAAAAAATGTTTTTTTATGGGTATTTTTTGAATCATTCATAGCGGACAAACCCTTCCTATCGAGTCGACTCGTCCGACTCGTTTTTAGCTCCATTAGCAGATTTGTTTTCAAACTAGTTAAATAAATCTTGATTCAACTCGACTCAATAGGTTATCGAATTAAATGAGTCGGCTTGCCACCCAAAAACAAATATAATATTTTTTATTTATATTATGAATAAAAACATCAAATAAATTGATATTTGAACATAAAATTTAATATTAAAATATCAAACTTAAATATACAAAAAGAAAGTATATATATAATAAAAAAAAAGTTAAAGTAAATATTAATTTTCTTTATCAAATATATAAAAACATATAAACATAAATATGATTTTTTTTAAAACACCTTAGAAACTAGTTCGTTGGACTCATTTTCAAATAAATATTATAAATATTGGTTCGGATCGCTAAAAACAAACCAGCTTGCAAGTTGAGCTTATTTTAACATCTCTATTTTATATACAAATAGTGCATTTACATTTAAAGAGTGAAATCCAAAGATATGGAACTTGAAGAAAATCTAGAAAACAGAGAGTTATAATTTTTCTATTGGCGCAAAAAACCGTATTAAAAAAAATACTCGAAGCTAAACCGGAATGGGAACCGGCTAACTACAATTGAACATCTTACCACGAAAGAAACCGCCATGAGTTGCTCGAGAGCAAAGATTCAAAAAAAAAAAAAACATCACGACTTAAGGAAAATGCATAGCAGCAGGGCAATTACTCTTATGAGAATAATAGCAAATACATTTTGATTGATAAAAATAGAATATCAGTATTAATCTCGGTATTAATCCAATTTTTTTTTTATAATTTAGAAATTCATCAAACTTTTGACTCAACTATACCTTTCAAAAGAGTGGAGAAATTCGGTTAAATACTTCTCTCCACGTTTGAATTTAAATCCGGAATAAATGAATGTTTTGCAGTTTTTCTTAACACTGCATCATCCAAATTTGAATTTAATTCGATTATCAACATAGTTGATTTGATATTTATTTGATACAAATTGAGATATTTATTTAACAATTTGAAAATTGATGTATTTATGTGGCATATTTACGAATTGTGATGCCATGGAATTTTTTTCATAATTTTAAAGCAATATTTATGATTATTTAATGGTCGTTTACTACAATGCTTGCATATTTTATAATAAAAAGTCCAAAACTAATGAATCAACTTTTTTTAAATTGATCTTTCAAAGATTATATATATATATATA